AATTTCTGAACACTACAATAAAACAGAGGATGAAGTACTAATGGCAGCAGCGGTGGAGGTTATCATGGTCCCATGGTGGTCATAAATATGGTTCCATGGTGGTCTTAAATTCTTAATGATGGCTCTGTGGTGGTCTTAATGAAATGGTAGTGAGGCTAGTTAGTATGATGGCAGGAACAGAAGGCTGACCATCAACGCAAGTGGCAAAAGGAGGGGAACATTAAGATCAATAGTTGAGGGCATAAAGCTTAAGCTGAAGCTGGTGCTGTTCATTATAGCAGTGCAAAGCAGCACCAATCTGGGTCTGGTATGGGTTGGGGTGGCATTATATGGTAGTTAGGTAGCAGAAAGCCCACCAGGAAACTGAAACAAACTGCCCCATATGTCTGTCGATTGTCGTAAGATTCTAGCTCATTTCAAATTGTTATATTCACACTCTCCAAAGTTAAACACGAAATTTGAAACCCAATTTTCCTCAGAAATGTTATGGGTTATGGCCAAAATGACAATTGAAAGAGATATAAATTACACAGCAATACTCAATTGTCTCCACCAAATTAAACCAAAGGACCACACCAAAATCAAAATCAAGCAAACAATTTCTTACAAGCCAAACATGCTGATATATTCACACCCTTCCACCAAAACAAATCATAAGAAATGAAAAGAAAAAAGGACGAGAAGATTAACCTGAGTTTGTCATCTACAAAATCCATTTTGGTTCCTATAACGTGCATGAGCGCCTTAGGATCGATCAATACCTTCACACCCTTGTCCTCAACCAACTCGTCGAACTTCCCTTTATCATCTGCACATCAAAATTGGAGGCATGTATTTATCAAAATCATTTTCACTTCAAACAAATTCAAGCATATAAAAATGAAGAACAACAACGATCAAGATCAAAGGACGCCGGACCTGCGTAATTGAGAGTGTACGACAAGCCGTTGCAGCCACGAGCCTTGACGCCGAGCTTGAGATAGGGCCGCCGGCGCTGCTCCAGAAGCTGCCGTATACGACTCGCCGCCGCGTCCGTTAAGCTGACGGCTTGACGCCTCGCTGCCGGTCCGATCCTCTCGGCTGCCGCCGCCAGAAATTGCGAAGCCATCGGTGAGATTTTTAATATCCTCCTCCCAAAATTGCCTTCAGGATCTGAAACTGCTTGTGTTGAACTCGCGCCAGGGTACTTCCGTCATTTGAACGTTGCGTCCCAAACCAGTTTCTGGAAGTTTCGTGGACACTGGAGCGAGACATTTATGCTTACGTGTCGCAACAGGATTCGCTTATGTGATAATTACCTCTTTGTTCCATGTTGCGATATTATTTTTACCGCGCTCCGTGACGGGCCTAACATTAACCGTTAATGTCCGAGTTAATCTAAGACCATCCTCTGATGAGCTTGATGAGAAATTGAACGGTGATGTTTTGAAAGGGAATATGAGGTGCGTCCTTTTAAGGTGAGATTTTAAAATACTCTAATGTACAAGGAGAAAGGTCGAACTCAAATGTAATTTGATCTAATTCACATATGTTTAAGTTGGCTTTTTTTAATATTTAAAATGAAGGAATAATTGGCCTCATTTTGTGACTTGGTCTGAACTGGATTATTTCAATAATTTTTCAAAGCTGACCTAATGACCAGAGGCTTCACAAAAATTACCTAGGCATTGCTTCATCAAGAGAGCTTGTCGTTGGGAATCTTCAGCAGAGAGGATAAAATTATACTAGTGTCGTATTTGTTTTTTGGTAAACTTATAAATGACGAGACTAAACTTATTAAATTGAACAACATGACATATTATGTCTTTAGAAAGAAAAAAAAAATACAAGTTTGAACTCAATTCAAGCTTAGCAAATGACAATTCAGTACATCAAATCTCCAATTTACTACATATTTATGTTGAAGAATATAAAATTTCACATTAAAAACTTGACAATTATAAATGCAATATATAATAAGTTGTTGCACTACTAATAAAATTAGACAAAAGCGATTCGGCTTGCATTAGGTGCATTAATCAAATTTCTGGTTGCATTGCATTGCATGGGAATTTCTGCAGCTGTCGGTTCAATTATTTGGGCCCAAACAATTAACACATGAAAATTGAGGTGGCCCATCAATTAAACCCTTCACTGAACGATAAGGGTTTTGTGACTGTGTAGACCTGGTTCATTTCATGAGAGCCCACACAAAGATAGATGCTCGTCACCTGAAAGAAGCCAAATCAATCACCAACCTCAATCGCTATTTGCTCGCTTTTCACCAATTTTTTCTCAATTTTCTTGCTTGCCTTTATACTTCCAATTCATTATCAACAAGGACCTCGACAGTCTAAATCTGAGTGAGCCACTTTGAAGACTCTAGAAACCGAAGGTGCTAAAAACGCTCCATTTCCGACTCTTTGGGCTCAACGCCCAAATGCTTCCAGGAGTTTTGTTGTTTCTGTTTCCTAGGTTTCTTCAGATTTCTCAGGTCTGTTCATCTAAACCCAGGTGCCGATTTTCTGTTTCTTGCTCGTTTCTCTTAAAATTGGGTATCCATTTTTTCAGCATTTCTGGTTTGTTTCTTTGTCATTGTAGTAGACTGCTAACTTCATAGTTAATTTGAATTCCGTATAATTTGTTATTAGCTTTGCTTTGCTTTTGCCGTTATAATTATAGTCCGGGGATTGTAATGCCTGCTTTGCAGCTTGTGGGATTTTCTGTTTGATTTGGTTTGACTGTTGGCATTTTACTCTTTGTTCGTCTTGACTGTTTGGGACCAATTGTGTGGTTTCTAAGAATCATTCGGTTTTTGGTAAACAGGTAGTGGACGAAAGATTGGTGGTAGGATTGAAGTTTTAAGTAATCTGGGTTTCTAAATTTATTGGCATTCATCAACTTACCAGTCTCGCCATTACAAGATGGCGACTTATGCGTCAACGTATTTTACTATTTCTGATACTCGAAACCCAGTGGGACTACTAACAGGACGTGGAGGGAGGCTATTAACGAAGAACCAATTAGGAAACTTTAGCTGCGTGAAAATGGCAGAAGACAAGTATGGTTTTATGGGTGCAATCCATAAGTCGACTTTGACACAAGTCAAGTGCTCAAGCAACTCTCAGAGTGTCAATTCATATCAGAATAAAGACCCTTTTCTGAATCTACACCCTGAAGTTTCATTGCTTAGAGGGGAGGGAAGCAATACTGTGAACAATCCGAGAAAAGATACCTCAAGTGGAAGTGTCACTGAGAGCTTAAGTGATAAATCTTCTCCTAGTAATTACAGTGAAGCAAAAATCAAAGTTATTGGTGTTGGTGGTGGAGGTTCAAATGCAGTTAATCGCATGATAGAGAGTGCAATGAAGGGTGTGGAGTTCTGGATTGTTAACACCGATGTTCAAGCTATGAGAATGTCTCCTGTCTTTCCTGAGAACCGCTTACAAATTGGTCAAGAGCTTACCAGGGGTCTTGGTGCTGGTGGAAACCCAGATGTTGGTATGAATGCTGCCAAAGAGAGCAAAGAATCGATAGAAGAAGCACTGTATGGATCAGACATGGTCTTTGTTACGGTAGGTTCACATTCTGTTCCTCTGTCATGACTTCCCAAAAGATGCCAGTGTATTGTGTTATTTTATCTCAAGCATGTCTTCATTTGACTTTAAATTTCTCTATATGCAGGCTGGTATGGGTGGAGGAACTGGAACTGGTGGAGCTCCTGTTGTTGCAGGAGTTGCAAAGTCAATGGGTATATTGACTGTTGGTGTTGTGACAACGCCATTCTCTTTTGAGGGACGAAAGAGGGCAGTTCAAGCCCAGGAAGGAATTGCTGCTTTGAGAGAAAATGTTGACACGCTGATAGTCATTCCAAATGACAAGTTATTGACTGCAGTTTCCCAGTCTACCCCAGTAACAGAGGCATTTAATCTGGCTGATGATATTCTACGACAAGGAGTTCGTGGTATCTCTGATATAATCACGGTATGTGATTTTTAAAGATATTGTGTGTAATATGAATTCTTTTCTTAATGGTCCTTACCAGAGTGTTAAAGAAATAAATGAGCTAAGGAAAGCAAAGAAAGAAAGAAGAAAAAAAATTGAAAGGAAAATGAGAATGAATACAACAGGAACCTTGATTTACTTATTTTATTTCTGCCACATGTAGACCATAATCTCAACAGCCGATTCCCTACAGTCATAAAGAATGCTTGATAGACTCCAAGAAAGTCATGTTAGTAGTACTTCCTCTAAATGCATTTTAAATATACATAAACAGTAAGGGTATCAGTACTTCTCTGTGAGTACTTGTTCAATATTATCATGGGTTGAAAGTTGTTATTCAAAAACTGGCACCCAGTTGTGGAATCTAGTGATGATATATTTGCGAGTTTATTAATACTGATAAACTGGTACTAATATTTTTGAACCTTGATCTTCTGGCTTTAAAACTGTAAGTTCAAAATTAATATATAAAAAAATCAAACTGACGGTATTTGCTTCAAACTTGAACTTCTGGCTGTTAAGACCTTATGAGCATTAGGTTGTTATCTGCTTAAAGTGTCTTCATTTGGTCAAAGGAGTTTGATTAATTATTTGTATATCATTGCATCTTTTTATGGCAATATTTTTTTTTTTTGCTCTAATTACTTGGTCATCACCTTGATTGCAGATACCAGGACTGGTAAATGTGGATTTTGCTGACGTACGGGCTATAATGGCTAATGCAGGTTCTTCATTGATGGGGATAGGAACAGCAACTGGTAATGTTTTAGCTACTTACTACTGGCCACATGATGTTTAGAGTGCTTATTTCATGTCAGAGGCTTCACTTATGAAATAAGACTTCATTATTGTGGTTCCAAATTTTCCATATTGCCTTCCATGATGACACCATTGTGGATAACCTTCTTGTGAAGTTAATATATTATGAATGGCACCAAGAGATTCTCAGTTTTTCTGGTTAGAGCATGAGGAGGAACCGAAAGGAGACATAATCCCAAATTTGTTGAAATAGAAAATAGGTCTTTCTCTAAATTAATTAATTTTAGTCGCTGCATATATGCAACTAGTTAAAGATCACCAAAATACCAGGTGGTCCGTTGTAATAAGTTAACTGTTGTTATTGGATAAAGAGATATTAAAATCCTTCTTACCTAGATCTTTCTAAGCTTATGTGGAGTGAAGAAATCTCTACTTCTAGATGTTTCTTTTTGTGGTGGTCTTCACAACTGTGTAACTTTCAAGGGTTATCAGAATGGCAACTCTGACTTTACGTGTAGTTTATCTTAAAAACATAATATGTTTCTGTTTTCCATAATGTATATAATATTCCTTAATTAGAACTGAAAGGGTTTAGGGTTTAGGGATATCACGAATTCTGATATAACGAATTCTGATATCATATGCTTAGATTGTCATGCATTGGCATTTTTTTTCCCTAACATGCATCTTCATCAAGCCTTTTGTTCCAGTATCGGTGACCCTTTTCAATTGTTCATAATATAATGCTATAACTATTTTCTGAGGTTTTTTTTTTTCCTTGGAGTAGGGAAGACAAGGGCAAGAGATGCTGCATTAAATGCCATCCAATCACCTTTACTTGATATTGGTATAGAGAGAGCTACTGGAATTGTTTGGAATATAACTGGGGGAACTGATTTGACCCTTTATGAGGTACTTTTCTCTTTCACTCACTCTCCTTTTTGGTCATACTTGTGGACTCATGGAGTTCACGTGTTCTTTTGTCTTCTGTATGAGAGTCTTTCCACTACTTTTTGTCTTTAGAAGGAAATATGTTCTTCCTTGAATTCTGGTCTACCATGTATCTGCGAGATAAAGCTGTCTTTAGGAATTACTTTTACAGTTTCACCATTGCATTCCACATCTGCACAGTTATTTAGTTGACCAGTTCTTTGAACAGTCATAGCCTGATTTACATGTAAAGAAACAAGATGCCATTATGCTTCTCCTGTTCATTCTCTTGCCCTTTTCTTTTACAAGTTTGACTTAAGTAATCAGAAATATGATGAAGCAAATGCTCCCCTTAATTCTAACCAGCAAGAATGACGTTACTCTGCAATCTTCTTAAGATCTTTTATTCTAGGCCTAGAGATATAGACTAAAACTTTCATCAATTATTAGTTTTCTCATAGAGAAATCAGTTGGTTGACCCAGAAATGTCCT